TGGACAAAGAACATTTGGATTCATGTACCTCTTTGAGGCATTTTCTCTGTTTCAGTTTGGCTGTGGGCATGAAGGAGGAGTCCCTGTTTCTCCCAGGTCAGGTGCAGCTGGGAGCAGGAGCACTGTCCTGGAAGGAATGCATATTGCCCAACTGCCCACCAGCTGCAGAGCTGCCACCTTGCACAGCAAGACAACAAATCCCTGCAGCGCCATAGCTCCTGCCTTCTTCAGGCATCAGCAGAAAATGGGTGAGAAGCCCAGCTCCAGAAGAGGTCACCTGAAGTGAAGTATCTGTGTGAGCCAGCTGGAGCTCCACTAGAGTCAGCAGAGCCCAGGTGTGAGGCACTCAGCACAGGAGCCCAAAGAAAGGCATCTAATGCCAGCTGAGATGCAGGGGGAACCCAACGCACATGCATGGGATGTTCAGATGTGACACAGGACCAATGAGAGCCTCTCTGTCCTTCGGGCAACATTAGAAATCCAATCTGTCTGTGGGCAGCTGAAATAATCCCAAGATGCCTACCTCAGTGTAACAAGCTAAACTGCTGTCTAGGGATTAGAGAGTGCTTTGACTTCATTGATTATAATGAGACTTCAGACACAGCACCCAGGAAGGTGCCCAAATTTAGTTCTGCAGAAAAAAGGCAGCTCATCTCTGGTGCCCTTAATCTCTGCTCCACAGAGTCTACAGGGTCTCATTCAAATTAGACTCACTGCCTCTTGGGAACATATTTATATGTTTCTTGCTTCTGGCACTGGACCATATTGAACATCTCTGAGCAGCCCAATTACATCTTGTTGCCAGCAAATGGTGCAAGGATGCTGCTGTTTAATATAAAAAAGAGTCAGGTTGCTGTAACATCCCCTGTCATTCCAGCTCAGTTGTCTTGGCCTCCCCTTCTTGCCACAGGTCCCAGAGATGGAGTCGCACCTGGAGAGCAGAGCCAGAGTATTTCCATGTATTTGGAACTACTCTGAGACTCCATTTACCCATCTGCACAATAGGCCTCAGAATAACATCCTTTTCCCAGAGGAAACTCATCTAAATGTGATGGCTCAGCCCCAGGCACTGGAAATGTTTCACTTGAAATACAACTACCTTGTGGTAAGAAACATTAACAAATGGGATCATTGACTTTTGCTTATTTTCCTTAAGTGAAGCGTCTGCTGTTTCAGGGTCAGTGATCATTCACGACATTCACTATTTTGTTATTTTGGGCACCAAACACAGACTGTAAACCAAAACAGGACATCTTTCAACTATTTGTGTTAGCAAAAGGTATGTAGGAATCACATGGTTGGCTCAATTCTTGTTTTCAAATAAATAGTACCTAAATGCTGCTTTAAGGCACTTCATTTCTTCTTGACACATCTTCCATCCCCCATTTTCCATTTTTCCTTGAAGGGGGAAGACCATCATGATTATTCCAGTCTCTGCTGTGCCTGTGTAAATTACCATCAGTCCAGCTAACTTTACCCATACCCACAAGATGACAGAACTGCAGAAATTTTGCAGTGCTTGTTGAAATCTTGCTATTCAGCAGTTTTGTGGGTTTCAGAGCTTTTAAAATAAAACTTTCCAGGCTTGCTTGGTTGCACTGGGGTCAGCACAAGGTCTATGAACCACTCCTGATGGGTTTTACCTTCATTTATGCCTATCTTCATAGTTTTAAATTAATTTTCCAACTCAGACAGTAACATCACCTGATCCATAGATTTTGCATCTTACAATGCCCTACACTGGCTGGCTTTGATGTTTTCATTTGTCAGTGCCAACTTTAAAAACTTCCTTTGTTTGAGGTTTACAGAGTCTCTCTATATAAAGGTAAGACCTTCAGAGGTCTCTACTTAGTTCCCAGCTCAGTCAAGACTTTATCTCCCCTTAAAAATACCATCATACACTGCATCTGTGACACTTTCAGAAAAAGGGGGAATAAAGCTCATTTTCTTTAAGCCTTTTGTTTGCTTGCTTGCATGGCCTTTTACCATTCTTTCTTTGCTTTGTCTACAGAAGACATAAATCCATGCCTCAGTTTGGACTTCTGGCCACTGATGTAGTATTAATAGCAATAAAAAGTGTAAGACAACATATTGGATTCTATATTTTTACATTGCCAGGACTCCCAAAGGATTTAACTGAATGCTCTGAAAACACGATTCAGCCATAATACACCCTCACATGGCTCATTGCACACAGTCTTTCAGAAACCAGGTTCAGGTTTAGCATTTTGATTTACTCCCTGTGACAAAACAGCTACAGACTCCCTGTTTTGTTTTGGTTTTTTTCTCTGTATGTTTTTCTACTCACGTGCAGAATCTGTTCACCATGGTGGACTGTCTTCACTTATTCATTTCATTTCATTGTTCTACTGTAGCAAAGATCCAGCTTTATTCATCTTTTCTTACACAAAGAGAAGTTGTTTTCAGAAAAGCTGCCTGTTCTAATTTTTTCCTGTAATTGCTTTGCCCAGTTTTTAAAATATTCCTTGGAAATGCCTCAGGACAGCTCTCTGGAGGTACAAAAAACAAAGTTTTTGAAAGAGATTTCACAGTGAACTTCAAAGGACTTCAGAGCATTTGTGAAAAAAAAAAATCACAGAAAGTGGAAAATCATTCTTCCCTGCCTAATATATCATTCTCTTCATGCAAGACAATTACAATTACAATTACTACTGCTTTGTTGACTTCAGCTTTAGCATTTTAAAGAACTGGGCTCCACATCACCTTGGAGCCCTTGTTGGGTAGGCTAACACTATTCTTTAATTTTACTCTTGAGCCAAGTTAAATATTTATTTTCAGTTCTACAATTATATCATTCAAATATTGTCTCTGAATATTTGGTTTCACTTTTAATTGGCAGCAAGCTGACCTGTGTTTATTAAGGTAAACCTGAAACTATTGAGGTGTAATTTGGGATCATCCTCTCCTCAAGTGTAATGGACTGATCACATTTTTGCAATAACAATTGGTTAAGAAATCTCTCCTGTTCCAGAAGCAAAGATTCCAGTGTCTGAGCTGAGAAATAACTTGAGACAGAATAAAAACCTTTTAACTACATCTGGTAAGGGGCAGTGATACACAAATGACAGTATAAAACTGTGCTTCTTTATGTATAAGGAACCTAATTTCAGAGAATTTGGAATTCACTGGAATGTTACCTGTGGAGTTTTAAGCTATTCATTTCACTCATAGTTTTCTGAGCTATGTCTGGTAGTGCTGTGAACAGCAATAGCATCCACAGCTTCATGGTCTCCAGGAAAGCATTCCTTACAGCCACAAAAAACATGACAAGGCAGCACCAGTGCTCCTAAGCTCCACACAAAGCAAGGAAAATACACTGTAAACACCGCTTATCTGGTAATTGGGTACACCAACATTAATAAAAGCAGTGCTGCAACTATCAATACAAAAATGCTGGAAGGAAAGAAACAGACATAACAAGCAAGGAGTGCAGTGCAGTAAGAGCATTGACAGCATGGATTCAGTGCTTGTCCTGAAACACTTCAGGGAATAGGTGGAAAAGGAAAGGTGGAATAACTAATTAACAGTCTTTATGTCCATTGCTGAGTAAAAGTCTCAGTGCTGCTGACAGACAATGTAAAGGAGAATATACAAACTGCTTGAACAGATGTTGTCTGTTCCTAAGTGGTCTGACCATATTTAGCAGTGGCTGAGATGGGCAGAGAGGCAGAAACAGCCTACATAACAAATTCTTCTCAGCTTTATTTGCTTTTGCTGTTTGTCATCATAAAACACACAGCTATCATTGTTTGAGTAATAGAGCTTTTACACATTCAGCTTCACTGATTTTTGTCCTTTTCCTGTTTTGCCGTCAAGGGAACATTCACATCAGGGTAGTGTATTCCAGGGTATCTGTCCCAGTGTCTAACAGAAAGCTGCCTGAGGTTTTCCATACAGGCAAAATAAATTATCCATGAAAGAACAAGGAAAATTCAGCAGAAACCACATCTCCCCTTGGACTTGTGCTTGTCAGCAGGTGATATGATACAAGGTGTAGCAGGACCTGAGACTGTGGTGATCCTGGGGAGGTAGAAATAATCCTTATGTTTGAGGTATAGTAATGACCATCTCTGTCATAATGCCAGATTTATTCTACTATCCACCTCATAAGAAAAAAATCACATTTTCTTGTTATTCTAGACACACAGATCCATTGCCTACCTGTAGCTGGTAGATTGCCTCTCTCAAAGTATTAGCTCTCCCATTGATCTATGGCTGTCATCCTCTCCTAAAGTAAATGAAATTCAGGTTTTTTGAAGATAAATTATATTAATTAGTCACTCTACATAACCTGCTTTATTACTAAAAAATGCTTTTAAATGTTCTTAACTATTTCCTGATATTTAGCATTTCTTGTTTTGAGTACATCAGGCAGTAAAGTATCCTGTAATATAGACAGAAATTCTCTTTAGGATCTCTGAAGTAAAATTTTTTGTTAGTGCTATGGAGTTATAGCTTTTTACAGAAACAAAGAAACAATATCATATTGTATATTCTATAATGTTATTTCACTAAGAATTGCCATTGAACTAGTGTTATTACTGAAAAGATGCAGAGTTTACTTTAAAATAATGAGCTTTGATATGTATTTTTATTGTTTATGAAATGGCAAAAAAACCAATTTCTCTAGCAAAGAAAAGTAAGTTATTGCAGCATTGTTGCCAGTTATTGCCTGTGGAAGTTACTGCAAAATAATCAACAAGTGTGGTTTGCTTGTGCCCATTTCTTCCTGCAGCCTATGTCAATATTCAGAGACCTCATGTTTATACAAAGATACAGTTTCAGAGCCCTCAGCTGGAGAACGGATGCCTAAACCACAGTGTTGGGGAGGAGAAACAAACCAACCATCTAAGCATGTTTACTTCCAGCAACAAGGAAGTTCAAACTTGTCCCTGAGTGGTGACTCACTGGGTTGGGACTATAAAAGTAAAGGTAGCTGCTCTCTAAAGCATCAGGGCTTCAGACTTCAGAAATCCAACATGATGCAATCAGGACTTGCAGCTGTTTTCTTTTTCTTGTTGGGTTTGCCATTATGCCTGACAATCCCTATTCCCCTTGAAGACAGCCATGAATTCACAGAAAAGGACCTTCAGTTTGCAGAGGTACAGTATAAAATAAATCATTTGCATGTTTCAATAACAGTAAGCTGTGCAGTTGCAACTGTTTGGAAATTATGCTTATTGCTATTTTCCCCTTCTCAGCGCTATCTCAGGACTCACTATGATCTCCATCCCAATCCTGCTGGCATAATGAGGAAGAGTGGAAACACAGTGGCAGCCAAACTTCGGGAAATGCAAGCTTTTTTTGGCTTGGAGGTGACAGGCAAACTAGATGAAGAAACATATGAGCTGATGCAGAAACCAAGATGTGGTGTCCCAGATGTGGGGGAATATAACTTTTTCCCTAGAAAACTCAAATGGTCAAAAATGAATTTGACATACAGGTAAATGCCTGGTATTTTGAGTATTATTACTGTTATTACTTTCTTTCCAGGTGCATTGTCCAATGGGTTGCTCAATATGTGAGGTTAATGTGAGAAGGGTGCATTTGAGTTTGACTAAATTAATGTTGCAGTTTAAAACCCTCACAGCCCCACTTTTGGAAAGGCGCTCCCAGCTTAAATTGCAGCCCAAAGAAGTAAACATGAATTTTCCCATTGCACTTTGTCATGGAAAAGGAAACCTGGTGTGCTGTAAGCCAGCAACTACTCATCTGGCTTCCATATGGACACTCAGGACACATCCATAGTGCCAGATGAAAGAGGGGTAGGGGCTCAGATCATGCACTCTCTGGGTCACTCCTTAGCTCTGTTTTGGACCTGGTGTAGTGTTTGCTTCTGTCTTGTCCTAGGTAGAGAGATGTAGATGCAAACCAGTCTGTGTAGTGTGACTGTGAGAGCAGGCTCTTCTATTTCACATCCCAGGTGTAGATCTCTGTCTCTGTTCAGACAAATCCCTGTACCATGGCCTCAGAAAAGTTGACCTTGGGAAGTGAAGGGCTGACAGTTCACAGGGTAGATCCTTCTCCTTTAATTCTGCAAGGTCATATATCTGGGGCTTTCAACAGCTACAGACTGAGTTTGTTTAGCAGATTCCAAATTTGAAATCACTAAAATCTCTTAGTTCCATAGCTAGTGTTAAATGTTACTTTAATATGGACAATTATAACCTTAAAAAATCACTTTGGATAATGTTTTGCTGCTCCAGGAAGTGAAGATCTTGAGATATTTTATGTGTCATAAAAATTTTGAAGTTACTGATATTATTTTACTTAATACTGAATATATCTGTCACTTCCTAAATCTTCTGGTGCATAGGAAACCAATTACAGAAAGCAGTTGGGTAATTTCAGATATCTCTGAATTATTTTAGTGATGATATAAATGTTTATTTATTTAATACTGTATGCAGCTACTAAGTTCCTTGTTATGTGATAAGATCATATGACAAAAGCAAAAACTTTTAATGAGGTGTACAGTCAGATAAAATTGCGTTGCATATTTCTTCAATTCACACAATTTAACTGGGGATATTAATCTGTTTGACAGAATTATGAATTACACTTCAGATCTGAGGCGTAATGAAGTAGAGAGAGCTTTCAAAAAAGCATTTAAAGTTTGGTCTGATGTGACGCCACTGAACTTCACCAGAATACGAAGTGGTACAGCTGATATCATGATCTCCTTTGGCACTAAAGGTAACACAGAACCTATTGTTTTCATTTTATAAGTAAACTATATCCTTATATACATAAGATGGAGTCATTAATTTAACCGGTTTGAATTTTGCTTTAAAGAACATGGTGACTTCTACCCTTTTGATGGACCCTCTGGATTACTGGCACATGCTTTTCCCCCGGGCCCAGACTATGGAGGAGATGCTCATTTCGATGATGATGAAGTTTGGTCAGATGATTCCAAAGGTAACAGAAGTTCCTGAGATTATTTGAAATTATGATAGATGGAAGATTTATCCCTGTTTGATATCTGTAGGTGGTTTGTTTTGCCTGTTGACTGTTAGTTCATCATTATGATCACTGTTCACACATAGAATGCTGAGTTTAACCTCCAGTCATAAATGGGGGTTTAACATGTGCTTAGCATAAATTTGAAGATACAACATTCCTAAGTGAAGTGATAAAAAAAATTGCACAAACAAAATTTTGTCATTTTGGTATTTCTAAGGGTAACTAGTTCTGATCACAGACTGATGGACATTGCCTTACTGAAGCCTAGAGCAAACATACCTCAGCTGCACGTTGTCTGCTTGCATTTAATTTGAAAATTCATCACCTTCCCTATTGAGGACAGAGTTTAATAGAACAAAACACTATTTTTTTTCAGCATGGATTAGGTCATGCTCCTGGCATTAACGCTAATTTCTGCAACAATGGACTCCCTACTGCAGATGAATTCCCAGCAAAATGTTCTTGATTTGAATAGGACCAAGATTTCATCCTTGAGTTTTCCTGTGTTGCTAAGAAATTTCAAGAGATCTAAATCTCCCTACATAGTAACACTGTCATGTAAGAGTTAGGCTGAACACTAGCTATGAGACACTAGGTCTCATAGGCCCTTATTAATGCAAAATCCTTCATAATTCAAAAATGACAAGCAATTGTATCTAGTGGAAGGTGTCCCTGCTCAAGGCAGGGGGTTTTGAGCTAGGTGGTCTTTAAGATCCCAAACCCTTCTATGACTTTATGAATTATGCAGAATTTTTCCATGTATTCAGTTGTCTCATTAATTGTCTCCTATGTTAAACCACAGTGTCAAGTATGGTGATGAAAGGAGATACACATTTACTTCTGCTGTGTTTTGCTATAGGCTATAACTTGTTTCTTGTTGCTGCCCATGAATTTGGTCATTCACTGGGACTTGAACACTCTAGAGACCCTGGAGCTTTAATGTTCCCAATCTACACATACACTGGAAAAACTGGTTTTGTGCTTCCTGATGATGATGTGCAAGGGATCCAAGAGCTCTATGGTAAGTCTGTATATTGTATAATATTTATCTCCTGTTCATTATAGCCTGCTGCAGATGCACTGCACAGTTACTCTGAGCTGCAGATGTTCAGTAACAACAGTCATGATCAATTAAGAATGATTCACTGGAACAGGAAATGCTTAGATTTAGTAGTTGAGAGGGAGAAAAAAAATAACTAATGCTGCAGATCACAGTTGGTCACTGACCTGTCTCCTTTAGAGGTAGGTGATAGGGCACAGAGTCCTTCTGCTTTTTGACCTGCCTGAAAAGAGAAGGGAAAACACAGTCTAAAGGTAGAAACTGAACTATCCATGTTTCCTTATAAAAAGTATAATGTTTTTGGGGATCTTCAAGACTTTGGATAAAGAAAGCAAGTTCATTTAACACCTTTGCAGCACAATTCAACTGCAAAGTTCATGAATGCATTTGCCTAGAGAAAAGAGAGAACAGATGTTTCTGTAAAATTTTTTACCCATTATGTTTGTATTCATCATGATCTTGGGAGATCTTCCATGTTCTGTTCAATATCATGATCAACAGACACAAAATTAACATTGTCAAACTTACATCATATATCATTCCAGGTGCTGGAGACAAAGATCCCAACCCAAAACATCCCAAAACACCAGAGAAATGTGATGTAGAATTATCACTTGATGCAATAACAGAACTTCGTGGAGAAATGCTGATCTTCAAGGACAGGTAAAGACACTTCCATGCCAAGGATGCTGGGTACTGGATAAAGTTTGAGTAGCCAAAAAAAAAAAATCTTTTTTTTACTAAAGATTTTGGTAAATGCAAATTTAAAAGAGCACAAATCAATATAGATATCTCTTAAGAAACTGCATCATATATCTTTTTAGGCAGGATTTATAATACAGCAACAGACTTTTCCCAGCAACATGAAGATAATATGGCTGAAGACTGACACTTTTGTGCACATTTTTAAATTAATGGGATTTTCTTCAACATGCACAAATCTGCTAACTTTTATTTGGGTGAAGTTGTACTGCATTCAAGAGCTTCACATGGGACAGCAGTGTTTCTCTTATTCTAAAAGAAAGAATATTGAAATTTGTTATGATTTGAGATGATCACCATGTGAGTTACAGAAATGGTCCGCAGCTGATGGCTGTGAGGAAAGGAAAGGAAGGGTCTGAGAGGGACTCAGTCTATTCAATATTTTATTATATGATAACCATTAATTCACCAGTATTTTATTTTAACTATAGTAAAGATTCTTATCTTAACAAAGATACTGCTATTCTACAGTATGACAAGAATCATAAAATATATTTTCCTTTTCTGAACTAGGTTTTTCTGGCGACTGCACCCTCAGATGGTTGAGGCAGAACTGGTGCTACTTAAGTCCTTTTGGCCAGAGCTTCCAAATAAAATAGATGCAGCTTATGAAAATCCCATCAAAGATCTTGTGTTCATGTTTAAAGGTGAGTTTTCAGTTTTCTTGTTGGCAGAAGAATACACATATTTAGTCAAGCTCAACAGGTGGTGTAGAGGTAAACAAGAGAAGAATAAAACATCCTACCTTCCTCACTTGAAAAACAAGTTATTTTACCTCTATATGCACATCTATAAAATTTTCAGTGAATTAGGAGATGTACAATTTAATTAGGATGCCCAGAATCATAGTACACATAGTTTAATACCTACTGAGTATGTGACCTAACAATCTGTTTGTTGTATGAAAATAGGGATCACAGTTTCCTCATTTTATTCTTCTCTCAAAGCTGGGTACTAACAAAAGACTCACTCACACTTTATTCATATTTTCAGGAAAGAAAGTCTGGGCTCTGAATGGTTACGACATAGTTGAAGACTTCCCTAAAAAGATATATGAAATGGGATTCCCAAAAGAAATGAAAAGAATAGATGCAGCCGTCCATGTAAAGGACACTGGCAAGACTCTCTTTTTTACTGGTAATAAGTACTGGAGGTAAGCTGGAGACAAGTCAGTTTTGGTGTCAATGCCATAACCTGTCCAGATGTATGGAAAGATTGGGAGTTTGGTTCAAACCAGGCATTTGGCCAATCTGGTCTGTGGTTTCCATTGGTGCTACAGCTGTGTACAACATGTTGCAAAGGTGTATGCAAGGCTTTTCCAAAAATACGGGCAGAGATTTTAAAAGCTGAAGGAGTGTAAGGAAATGAGAACAAAGTGTTCTAATCTGGGAGAATTTCTAATGTGATCATGCCTGCTAGAAAAATTTCCCATCTTGCCTCCTTGAGTTGCTTGTGTGATGTGAAACGGTATCAGTGCTGTGAGCCAGAAATCTGTCCCACCCTGGGGTGTCTCTTTTTTACTGTCTATGAGTGGGACTCACAACCAGGTCTCATGCATAATTAAGACATTACCATCCCTTCCCACTATCATTGGGCCAAGCAGCCTCAGGATAGGTTCGTAGTAACAATATATGCAGGTACAATGATCTCCATAAAACACATACTTTATTAATCAGTTCTGAAAATTTAGCTCCATTTTCTTTTTGTTTATGCCAGTTCTGGTGGAGGTGTGCCCTGTTTATCACCCTGCATTTTACCATTGCACTAGACAGAAAGCACCCAAAGACTGCCAGCTTGCTTTGGGTGTGGGTAACTTCCAAACATATAAAGGCACAGGCCAAACTCCCAGGCTGTTTAAATCCCCTGATTTTTTTTTCTTTTGTTTTCAATACAGTTATGATGAAGAGGCAGAGGTTATGGACACAGGCTATCCCAAGCTGATAGAGGAAGAATTCGCAGGAATTGGTGATAAAGTGGATGCGGTCTATGAAAGAAATGGTACATAATCTGATAATGAAACTTTATTACAATTAATTGCCCTTGAAACTTCAGATTTATGTCTTGTAGAAAATTGTGCATTTGTAATTTTAATTTCTTCGCCTCAATACTTCTGTTCTGGACTGAATCAATTTTCTGATCTAAATTATGCTCTGACCAAAAAAGAGCTTCCTTCTTAGAGAACCTAAAGTGACATGTTTAATATAGAAGTAATGTAATGTTATAACTGGAGCCCATTCCTATCCAGCTTTTCAGGGAGTGTTTCTGAATCAGTGTCTTAAAAATTAAAATGCCCTGTATCTTCCTGATCAAGTGATGTAAGAATTTTACACGAGATTAAAGAATATCAGTCATTTTCAAACTCTGATCCAGCTCTTGCAAATGGGATGAAGATCTTTTAAAAATTTAGCTCAGCATTTTAAATATGAAAATGTTGCATTTGAGTTATTAAAAATGAAAACAAGATAATTTTTATATGCCACCACATTTTCTTAGTGTTAATTCTTTCTAACTTTCTTTTTCCTTAGGTTACCTCTACTTCTTCAATGGACCACTGCAGTTTGAATATAGCATCTGGAGTCAAAGAATTGTCCGTGTCCTGCATACTAACTCCCTGTTTTGGTGCTAATTACAGCTGAGTGCCATGTCATAGGCTGCAGAGCAGCTTGTAGCACATGGGAACATAAATAAAGTGGGCATTTAGGTTTACAAAAGGACAGCAAGGTTCTATGAACAAGTACTAGGCTACCTACCACCAAATGTACACTGTATGTATGTACTTATACAGCTGCATGTCAGTCTGGAATTGATTTAACTTACTAGGAAAGGAGAAGATAAATCGTTAGCATTTCAAGGTGCAATACACCATTTAAAATTTGTCTAGTATTGGTGTGATGCTGGATACATCACACACTTTCATGAACACTACTAATTCCCAGTATTCTGAGCACATCTAGCACCTTTCAAGGATCTCCTAGCATGTCCCAAGAAATAAACTTGGTAAACCCTGGAGCTTTATATCTCTAAACTAATTCTTCTTCCCTTTTTGAAATTCTTTTTAACATACTGGGAATTCAGATGTGTAGTGAATGAGTGAGGGCTGCATGGTGACTCCCTGAGCAAGTAACACCAAGAAGCAATGATGAAGTTTGGGAATTCAAAGTGATTTGACTGTATTGAATGGGAATGTCCCCCTGGAAGCAGATGCCTATGCCATCTTTAGAACAAGGAGAAGGTACAGAAGCAGTGAGATGTCATTCCAAAGCAGACGGGAAAGCAGGAAAATGGAAAAGTACTCCCTGGAGAAATTGTAGAATTGTATGATAGTGGGGAAACCAGAAGGAAGCAGCCACAGGAGAATCACACATGTTGAAACCGTGCATGATACTACATCTGGTATCACAGTCCAGATGTTTTCGGCTGGTGTTGACTGAAGTGACATTTATAGAGGTTATGCCTGTGCCAGAAGAGAATCTGTACATCCAAAGCAGAATATTGAAAAGAATATATTTTTTCATGTTGGCCACTCTTTTAATATCTATATAAATTGTTTCAGTATATTGTAATATTTTGGTTTGCTTTGTTTTTTGTTCTGTTTTGTTTTAATCAATGCAAATGATGCGGGACTGTGACTATTTTGATTTTAAAAAATAACATTAAATAAACTGGAGGAATAAACTGACATTGTGATATTACTTAATTTTTCTTATGCTCCCTGTCACAGAAGCAATACAGAGCTATTGGGCAAAAGAAATCAAGATCCCTAACCTGTGCATTTTATTCATTAAGATTTTCATCTCTGTTTAAAAATAAAATTTATTTTTTGTCCCTTCAAGAAAAATAATTTTATGGAAAAGAGGAAAGACAGAAGAGTGAAAAACAGAATGACCCATCAAAACTGCAAAATAAGAACTAAGTTGGAATTAGACCTTATCATTACAGAAAGAATGAGAAATTATTAAGAAATACTGGGAAAAACAGTTACACCTTAGTGTGAATGTTCAATATTAGCAATTAATTACAATTACATTGTCCTGTTCTGTCTTCTCAAAAACAACCCCTAAGACAATCAATCAGCCAGGCCTGCCAAGCAAAGCTCACCAAAAACCAATATCTTTAAATAGACATAAATGACCAGGCTTACCTAGTGGTGGGCTAGGTGTGGTTAATTCTGTAGCTCACACAACATAAATGGCTGGTTGTGATAACCTAACAGATTGAGAGCCCTCTTCTGAGCATAGGATTGTGAACTAGTGAATTCCAGACCTTATTATGCTTAAAAGAAATGCATGGAAATAGAACTGGAAAAAACCTTTACAGAACGAAAAACTTAAAGTGGACTAAAATCAAAGTTCTGTTTTATGATAAAATATTGAGAAAACCTCTGGGGGGAATCTCAGTACAATTCTCTAAGTATAATAAACATAATTTGGTTCAATTACATATTAAAAAGGTTTGACAGAGTGCACCTGAAAAAAATAATGTTTGATATTGGGCTGAAGTTTCACTTAGTTACTTTGGCAGTGAAATAAGGCTCTAGACATAGTCCTCATTTTCTCAGTAAAAAGACTTGGTGAAAAATTGTACCAAAATAATAATGAATCTTCCACAAGGGCTAGATGTTGAGTCTGAGTCTTCTGAGTTTCAAAGGTCTGACAAGAGCCGCACTGGGTAAGGGAATGCAAATGTGGACAGGGAAGCAAGGAGAAGCAATGAATGTCTTTCACTTCTATATGAATTTCTGTTAACATTGAACACTTGTCAGGGGAAAAAGGTACTGCATAGGAAGCTGGACCTTCAAAAGCCTTCAACATGATCATGTCCAGCTGCTACCCAGCCCAAACAGACAGATTCCTGTTAGCTGCTCGGCTGACTGGAAGCAGCCTTTGGCACAAGTCCAAGCACAGCTTCTGTGTCTGCATCCTCAGCAAGAGATCTGTGTCTGTGGTTAGCTTTGCCTCGGCTGAGAAAAGTACCAGGCTGCCAGTTCCTGGCATTTAGTTCAGAAAAAAAAATGGAAAAAAATTCTTGAGCTGTGGAAGTGGAAGGCTGAGATCCAGAGGGACCCTGTTGCTGCTGTCAGCCAGAAAGGAAAATTCTCCACAGTGCCTTGTGCCCTGGGACCCACTGCCACCACACGAGAATAGCATTGCACGGGTGACTGGTGAGAACCAGATGGGATGTCACCCAAGACCATCAAGAACTGAGAAGAAATAATTCTTTTTCCAGAGGCAGAGACTGAAGTGACTGGTTTCCCTGAGATGTGAGGGGAGAAAGGACCACAAGGCTGAAGCAGCTGTCTCCCAGGATGCAATACAAACAGAACTATCTTCCTACCAGGTTACCAGTTTTTTATGTGGAACTACACAAATCCAGCTAATAGGAGGGAATGGGCAGAATAGTCTGTACCTAATAGTAGGGAATTTTGTCAGGGAGGTTTAGGTTGGATATTAAGAAAAGGATCTTCACCCAGAGGGTGGCTGGGGACCAATAAAGTGATCACAGTGTCAGCCTGACAGAGCTCAAGGAGCATTTGCACAATGCTCTCAGGCACATGGTGTGACTCTTGGGGTGTCCTGTGCAGGACTAGGAGTTGGACTTGATCCTTGTGGGTCCTTTCCTACTCAGTATATTCTTTGATTCTGTGATTGTGTGATTCTATGATTGATTGTATGATTCTGTGACTAGTACATGAACAGTTATTGATTAATGTGTCTTATATATCCATGTTGATCTCTGCTAGGAATGGTCGTTTGGAGCAGGAGAAAGGATAAGACAAGAAAAGGAATCTGTCAGATTCTCCTCAGGGAGTTTTCTGTGTTGGTTACATGATCCTGAACAATGAGGATTTGGAGGATGCAAATATATATGGCAGGTGAGGAAAAAAAATAAGCAAACATCATTTAAACTTTCCAAAGCAAGAAATTAGGCAACACTGTAAGAATTTCTATGAACTACATGAGATCTACTAGTAGCTGAGAAACTTGAGAAGGAATTCAAAGTTACATTCAAAAAGAATTTTTTTTCCTTAGCATAATCTCCAGAAATCTATTCTGAAGACGCTAGATGGCAGTGATAGCTTTGCTTCTTAGAGATTCTGCACAGAATTAAAAATTATAATGGTGGGTGAGGAAGCCACAGTTAACTTAGTGAGTTCTTACATTATGTGAAGACAAAAGAAACCCAACACTAACAAATAAAATTTAATTATTTATTCTATTGAAATGCAGATCTGTGAGTAAAAATTTAGAATATAATAGAATATAATAAAAAGATTCTAGATGTATTCACTATCTATTAGGGATAGATATCTATCTTAGAGATTCAATAGTATTAGGGATACTAATTTTTTTGTCTTTTCCAGAATTCAATGCAAAACACTTCAAACAGTACACTCTTGTCCTAGGCACAACGCAACCCCTTAGTCTAACCCCATTCACTGGAAAATTCCACATACACATACATAGACATGTTCTAACTGCTGGGAACATGGCAACCCTTCATGGATTCTTACTGAGTCTGGAGACAAAAACTTATTGTTTCGGTATTTTCTCACATTGACTTAAACAAGGATCTAGAATTCAGCCTTCAGCCTAGGTCGAAGAATGGCACATTCACTTCTGTTGTTGTGAGTGTGTGTTCATCTGTCCTGTTGGAGAGGTTTTCTGTTTACGCATATACAATTAAACAGTACTTTGTGGAAATACTGATGGCCCACTAGCCAGAAAGCTTATTTGGAATATAGGATCTATGCCTCCTATCAATTATGTTTAGGGGTTTTCGCACAAGGTGGGGTGTGGGCACACATTGTGAGTCTATACCAGTTTTGGGGTTTGATGGTTCTGCTGCTTCTGATGAAAAACATTTCCAAGGAAAATCTCAGTAGTTCTCCCTAAGATGATGCAGAGGGTACAAAGCCCACACAGAGTCCCTCCAGCCTGTGATCCTCCTCTTTCCTGCTTAACACAGGGGATGTGGTTGGTACATCCATTTTAGTCACAGCCTTTGTATTGCATACTGCAGTTTGAGTTTCCAGCCAGTGCTGTTCAGGACTACCTCTGGCTCTCACTTCACTTACCTCCCTTGTGCTGTGCTACAGAGAGTGTTCTCTGCCCCTGTCCCTTCACTCACAGAAAATGGATCAAAGAATATCTTCCTCTAAGGAAACCCTCACCAGGCAGCAGAGAAGCAGCTTTCAGTTTCTTATTTAAATGTCGCATAACAAATCTCCTATTGCCACAGTAATAGAGGATGGTGCATTTCTGTGTGTGTTGCAGTGAGCCATCCATGTTGTGTCTTGACTTTTTGCTGGACTACACCAGGGTCCCATCACTGGGCAGGAGGAGCCTGATGGAACAGTGTCCTCAGAATAGTCACATCCATACTGTGCAGTCTCTGCTGGACTATACACGTTCTTACATGATCCTGTTCTGCTCTTCTTAAAAGAGGAAGATGGATCATTTCCAGAGCGAAGTGTTGCTTTCTTAGCCCAAATGACACTATTATAGCACTCTGTAATCTCATCATTACAGGGATTACCACCCTAGGAAGAAAGTAAGAGAAATTTCTTTTTATTTCTGCATGATTTTTGTTGTCTGAATATATTTTTCTCAGGAAGAAAAAAAAATA